CGTTCTGTTTCAACTGAATCGTTATCCGTGTGTAAACTTCAACTGACATATATGTTGTGCCATCCGTATTTATCTACTTATCAATCATCGTAAAATATATCTCGTCGACTCTAAAATGGGAATCGTGTTATCGTCAGTTAAAATTGGAATTCTATTAGAAGTAATACAGATTTCGTTGACCAGAGACGTTGGCACAGTGGTTAGGACTCTCGCCGACCATGCACATGGTCCGGGGTTCGATCCCCTGCCGACGCACACACGATATCTATGGTCGGCCTGTAAAATTTGGGCTACCGATATCCATGCTGAAAATTCCATACTTGTACTGAAAATACGGTGTGGCATCAAGCTGTAATCAAAAATTAAAAAGAAAATTAAATTAAATTGCTACAACAATTTTCATTCTTTAATAGTATATGTGATGCACTGCTTTTTCACTATGCTCATGTGCAAAGGTACAGGCATCACAACGATAGATTTTAAAATCATGCATACGTGCGCTAGTGAAATGATAACTGTAAAAGTGTTTACACGTATTTTACTAAGGTATACAATAAAGATTAATGGTAAATGAGAAATGTGTACGTAAATCACTTCACTCTATAGTTGAAAAATTTGCACCTGTTTAAATTACTAATTTTCAAGGTGTTATCAGTAATATCATGTATTTTCTATAGTTTGGTTTGTAAGGATTAGTTATGTTTTACGAGTTGATCACGGACTGATATCGGCGTACTGCCGATGATTCCCAAAATAGGATGAAACAGCAGCTGTCCAGTACTCCCTGGTTTTCAATGGTTCTCTAACTGATATCAGTCCGTGATCAACTCGTAAAATATCATGTATATTTGCATGAAATTTGGTTCACTGATTTCATCGAATTTTCGGAGTATTTGCAGAAAAACGAAATATCGCTTGTGACATGTAAAAAGTATTTTTTTTTTTTAAAGTAAAGCAACGCTTTCTTTTGATGAGAGTTTCCGAAAAGGACTTCCTGAAGATATCTTGATGACGAGAATGGTACATAATTGCTCATTTTACTATAAGCTACACTACCAATCCGTGTTATGCGACACTGTCGAAATAACATAGAAGCATTAACGTAAAGTATGTGGTATTGATATAAGTATAAAACTTGGGCACTGTGGTAGAGCATAACTCCATTATGGATAAGATTTTCTTTTTGATAAATCAACTTGATATGATTATGAGCAACAGTTTATGCTCGAAACGTCATCAGTTAATATTACTGTACAACACTGCGTGATTTATCAAAAATAAAATCTTATCCATAATGGAGTTAAAGTATGTTGTGCATCAAGTACTATTCTCATTGTTTGTGCAAAGAGTCAGATGTCAGAAAAGAAATTATAAATCAGTAATCTGAACTGCAAAGTATAAGAAAAGATTATCACTACATGTATTACCTATGATACTATCTACTTATATCTGATTATACTTCCAACAACATTCTGTTTATAGTGGTTTTATTATCATTTTAAATTTTAAGTATGTACATGCTCATTAAAGGAAATAAATTATTGCAATATGTATAAAAACGCTGAAAATTCCATTCTACATAATTATCATTGTTTGGAATAAAGTGATTATTATTATTATTACTTAACAGTTAACTTCAACTTGAAAATGTTGCAATGAAATAACTCCTCAAACTGTCAAAAAAAAAACAATTAAAACAATAACTAATGACCGTACAATGTCAACATTCATTTATTTATACAGCTCAAAAAGTTCAGAAGAAAACAAAATAACTTTCCTAAACTTCAAGATCATCATTTTTACTTAAATCAAATGGTGACAGAGATTATCTTAAAGAATGTAATTACTCCTTTACACTGATTTCACTGTGTGTAAGGTAATTACTTTCTGCAAGGTCATGCAAGAAGTGATATGATACACGAGATTTATTTTATCATTGAGATATGAAAATGACCACCCAGTTGCATTCAAGCTTTTAAGGAGAAAGCGACACAAATCGAGACTACCAAACAACTCATAATAACAGAAATAAACAAGATTGCCGAATCTTCGATACGAAAATTAAGCTTTTCACATCAGCACTATTCCTTTCTACTTGTTTAGATGCATTTCACCGATCAATAAAGTAATCCATGGAAAATTTACGACATCACTGAGTGGATTATCTCACCCCAAGTTCAGTACTACTTCTTAGCTTTTGCATGTTTAATGTCATCAGAGAAAAATTAATTTCTTTTTCTCTCAGTAAGATAAATCAGTGGTCTCAATAGAAATTTTACCCACATAGTCTCTACGTGAAGAGATGAGAATACTATTTTACATACACTAGTGAAGTGTTTAAAATGACTGTAGTAAATTTGAAGTGCTAAATTTATTTACATATGTTGTATGTGCTGCCTTCAGACTAACTTACACATTATATATTTGTTTAGAATGTGCTATCCAAACAGTGAAGATTGGTTTAAATGGAAGTAGTTTGAACAAAAAAATTCTTCTTTAGCACTAAATGTTGTATATTTCACTTTTCATATCTTCAGAATATGTAGGCAGGTGGTGGATGGAACGTCTTAATAAGTGACTGTTTCCTAATTAAAAAGAGAACTAGATTTTACTAACTTGCTAATTATGAAGTAATATTGTGTACCACCATAGCAGAGAATAAAATAAAAATCTGCTATTAGTGAATTAAGTTATATTGTCTCACTTTGAGTGAAACAAAAACAAATATCACTATCAAGAAATATACTAAACCATGGTTAAATTTTATTACGCCTAAATGTATTATTCCTAAACTTAGAAGAAATCGCCTGCTTCTGAAAATTGTTATAATCATAATAACGAGTTATTTTAAAGGTTATAAGTCAAATTCACTTAGGTGCAACGTTCATGAAGAATTTTAATCAAAATGAATGAAGGTTGTAGGTTGCGTGCAAGAGAGATGGCATATTTGCTTTCATACACTGATATCGTTGTTAGCATATCTGTTATGCTGACCTATAAAAATTAAAATTAATTTTTCAAAATACTAAGGCAATTAATTTCTGATGTTATGAGTTGAAAAACCAATGTAGAAAGAAGGCATAAATTAAAGCCATCTACTGTGGAACTAAAATGTGCATACACATTAACAATAATGGACAACAATATAAGTTTTTTTCTTCTGAGAAGCAGTGTTTCTTTCTTAATGAGCTATTTGTTCATGCAATCTTATAGTTTTATTAGATATGTTGAAAAGAACCCATGAATAACACAAAATCATCGCCTATTGGAATCATTCTTTCAACCACGCAGAGCTTTACTCAGATAACTATTTGACAATGCAAAACAAGATGGAGATAGCGAACAATAAATAATAGGACTGGTAGTTTTGAAAAAAAGTGAATAGTGTATTTTGCGTGCTGACGATGAAATAACATAGGATGAGCAGTAAATCTGCACTTTTTGTAAAACACTAATCACTATAGATTCATCCTGAACAAGGCCCCTCAAAGTGAATTAGGATATGCAAGCATAGAAGAACGGTTAATCCCAAAGCACGTCCAACCATTGTCACCATAATTAGTCTTATTTCTGAAACAAATCATTACCATGCTTATTTTTTAACCTTTGGTCCTATAATGTGAGCTTACCTTATTCTTCGCTGCATGCTGACCCCTGATAGGAAAGTAATTCTGCGGTTGTCTCACATCTTTGTTATAAATTCATGGATGCACAGTCTAGATGAAAACTCCGTCGAAAAGAGAAATTCTGTGTGGCTGACTCTGCAGATAGTTGAATTTGACTAAGGAATAATGAATTTATTTGTTAAAATGTGATTGATTTCTTAATGCTTTCTGGTTTTTCGAGACTCTCACATTCAAACTACTGCGATTTGAAATGTTAAATAGCTTCAATGATCCCTATAACAGTGGCTTGTAGATGCGTTAGTGAATAAATATATTAATATTCACAATATGGACTGCTAAATCCTGAGTCAATGAATTTTAATTAAATTAGTAATGAAGACGAAAGTTTCGAAGTTGTGGCTATAACTGATATGATTATGAGCAATAAATTGTGTTCGAAACGTCATCCACTAGATAGTAATACTGTTTCACTGTGTGATATATCTAATAGAGAAGTAATGAAGAAAAATTGTCTACTTTTTCTATGAAGAACAATCTTGGTGAATGATTAGGGTTTTCATCATGAGCTGACATTAGTTAGAGAACCATTGGAAAACCTGGGAGTACTGGACAGCTGTTTCGTCCTAGTTTGGGACTCTTCATCAGCACGCACCCACCGGGATTCGAACCCAGGACCTTCTGGTTACAAGGCGAGCTCGTATACCATTAAGCCACTGGGACCCTGTTACCAATCAAATCCCTACGAACCAACATTTGATTAGGGTTTTATTCTTTTCATCGCTCAAATAGAAATGTAAGATAAATGAAGGTCAATCTAAAGTCTCACAGGATGTGAATTCACGTTTTATGAGTGAATCATAAAGACATACACACAATAAATTCACCAAATTTACAGCCTATCGAAAAAGTGAACTTAAGAAATGTGGATTCCATCCTTCATCATAACTTTATGTGCCAGGAGGTGTTTAATGAAGTATTAATTCCACCCTTTAAACGCCAATACTTAATTACAGCGATTATATGGGGACATTTCCTAGTAAACATCAGCGATCACACAAATCCACTTTTGCATTCAACTAAAAAAATGAAAACAGCTTCCATAATGCAGATAAGAGAAGTTTTTGGTCTTAGCCACGTAGGTGTGGATTGATTTACTAGGGTCCTTAATATGTTAAGAGTCAGAGACCCAAGACCAGCCTTGAGAAGATTTACGACGGTGCAGGTGAATTTGATATTTCCCACCTTCAAAATTTGCGATAATTTCACAAATCTTCTCTCTCATTTTTATCCACTACATTATTATTCTCTTTTCTCTTCATAAGAGTTAGAAGTGCGGCAATTGAGAATGATATTCCTTAAACCTCAGTTCTACTTGATTCGTTAACCAGTCTCTATGTACACACCTTATTAGATTTTACATGGAGCGATATAGATAATGATAATGCGGTAGAGTTTGTCAGTGGAGATTGTAGTACCCATAGAAGAGTAGATAAAACGCATCCTTTACTGTTCTGATAAATGACTGGTATATTAGATATTAAAGCTGAATTAAGATACGCTTAAATATGCCATACATACATGACAATGTTTTTCTTCGAGGAAACAGTAAGCTAAAATCATAATTATGACGGGAAGAAAAGCAAAATAAATAACTTTTGTATTATATAAGACAAATTTAAAAGAAATATTAGGTAAAATGAGTCAGACGTTATCAAAACAGACTTCGAATGAATACAAAGAAATACTGTACAACTACGCAATACACCCATATAAACAATCAAATAAACCATTATTGAGGTAAATAAGTGGACGAAAAAGCATGTCAGTAGGAAAGCTAAGTAAACAGTATCAACTCCCCTCTAGAAATTTGTGTGAATCAACTTATGGAAAGGATTTCAGGTCAATTAAATTTAAGTAAATATGTGCGCGCTGACGCAAATGTAAGTTGCAGGTAGTGTGAGAAATGATGTGAAAACAGCAAAGAAAAAGCAGATTCCTGAATGGACACAGCCATAAATTCCTCTAAAACCAAATTTATAACTAAACGAAGAAGTCTAGTTGGGATAAATACGGCGAAGTGGAACATCGGGAGAAGACATTTCGGAGAAAAATATGAGGAATTTAACCTAGAAATTTTCAAATAAAATTGTCATTTAGATACAGTAGAGTTTTGGATTTTCAAGATAGAGTAAAGCGGAGCTATCGCACAAAAATCAGAAGGAAGAAAATCTAAACAGATTTCCAATTTTCTTTAGAGATAAAAAAGAACTTTATCAAAGGGGTAGTAGACAACTTGGAAGAAAAAAATGAACTCTATGATAGAATAGATTTACGTATGAACAACCCAGGTTACTGTTGAGCCTCTCTAGGATATCTGGAAGAGATATTAATCGTGCATTTGCATTAGACAAAAACAATGAACAGGGCTACTGTTTAGTAGTAGGTTACTTTCATACTGCAGTGCTTATGGGAGAGACTTAGTAAAAATGTTCTGCTGACAGGGAGCAATGTTACTAGTTGACTGAATTGTTATTGGATGTGAAAGAATCACGGCAGGTAGGCATGGAGACATAATAGTGGCAGTTGGGCCGGATAAAAACGGAGAGGTTCCTGCTGGGTTCTGTGGTTGCCCAGACTGTATTGACTGAAAACCGAAGTGATTTGAAACAGATACGTTGTTTGAAATTTGCATAGACGGTGCAGATCTAGCTACTGGACGAGGAAAACATCGAAATTCACCGGTGTTATTTGCGTGTGTTGTTATCACAGTTGCAGTCGGTATAATAGGTAAACTAACAGACGACCGGTCAGTTAGGTCTGTGTGGTGATCAAATGAACTATGTTGTACCCAGTTAACAGGTCGACTTGAAGTTTGTGATCTTACAGGATGCTGATTACGATCTTGAACAAAAAGTATAGGAACTTCATTATTTATAACAGATGGTCCAGGAGCTAGCAATGAAACATTGAGCTGAGGATGGGATACAGGTTGCTTGTAATTAAAAAGTGCCGGTACAGCTGCATGGTGTGAACAAGAGACTGAATTAGCTGATGAGGGAATAGTTAATTTGGACGACGATGACACTGATTTCACAACATGAAGTAAAGACGGGCGTTCACTATTGGTCTCACAAACTTTAGGATGGGAAATTAAAATATTTAAAGGAAATGATGGTCCATTTGGAGCAGAGACATTAATGGATTTTGAGTAAACTAGAGATCGAGGCACCTGCAACTCTGCTGAGTTTTTCATGACTTTAGGAAATGAACCATCGTTGTTTGTCGTCATATAGACGCTACCAGGTCTACATGGTTCAGTAACTGAAATGTTGGTCGGCAAACAGTTTTTCTCACGAGGACAAGATGTTGATGGGATATCGTTCAAAACAATAGGTGTACAAACGGAATTAGGTTGGTTTTCGGTGTTCAATTTTCCTGAATTTGTTACGAGTAGTGGGTTACTCATTCCAGATGTCTGAGAAGTATGTGAAACAGAAACTGTAGTTTGTGATGCACTTGAAGATATAATATCAGATGAACACGTAACAGGTGCTCTGCATAAGAACATTTGTGATTTGTTGGCACCAGGAATAAGCAAGAACTGTTGTTGAGTAATTGTAGCTTTTGGGTTTAAACTCTGAAGAAATGCAACGGCTTCCGACAAGTTATCTCCATCGACAAAGAAAGCGCGCGTTGTTGTTGAGGAACGATTTTGGCGAGAATTAGAAGTCAGTAATTTTGTCACACTTGAGACGGATTTCAACGGACTGATGGAGATTGTGTCAAGAGTTGGAACAGATTTTATTGTCGCTTGCACCGAAGTCACAGGTTCTACAAAAGGAGAGAATGCTTGGCTAACTGACTTAGATACAGTTGAGCATTCCGAAACTGTACAATTCACGTTAATGGTCGGGCTGCCACTACTTGAGACTGGATTATTCAAGTTATGAGTGAGATGTGAATCTGTTAGAACTGAACTGTTTGATCGAATGGTAGATGTCACTGTGGATTTGGCTATGAACACGGGAGATGGATACGAACCAACAGACACAACCGGACTTACTTGAGACGTGCGTAGTGGGGCTGAAGAACTAGAACAATTTCCTGAACAAGAGAAAGGAGGCCCTAATGGATGAGAGTAATTTATGAAGTTTTGTCCTGATTGAGGATTTGAAGGAGTGGGTGGGGCAGATACACTCTGTTCGAATCGATGCAACTGTGACGGATGCACAGGACTAGGTGAATGTGAAGAGATAGGATGTTGTAGAATGACGTTCGTATTTGAATTAGTAAGATGAGGGGAGGATGGATATGACTGTGTAAAACTGTTGGAGTAAGAAGTATAATTATCAGAGTTGTTGGTAATTGAACTTTCTACAGATGTAGTGTTTAAAGAGAGCATGGGGGACATAACATCAATGCTAGGAGCTGAATGCGGAGAACATGGGCTTTCAGATGCTAAATTAGATGGCGCCGATTCATGAGTATCACTAAGTAAGGAGGAGAGATTAACTGATTGTATGTTTCTGTCGCTAACTGGGGATGGCATGGGAGTGCAAGATGAAGAAACACACGTAGGGTGTTTACTTTCTGTTTCATTCAGAGTTGTGAAGTTGACGGATGAAGAATAATTGCGACTCTGAAAGTAACCGCTTGAACCGCTAGCAGGATGTGGAGTCATGCTGCCCGGTAAACCATAAAAACGTGGGCCCATTACACCACGTTCAGTTTCTTTCAACATACGTTTTGCCCTCAATTTTTCTCGCATAGCGGCTAAAGTCTTCGTCTGTCTGGGTGGGGGCATAGAAGGCGACGCAGTAGAACTACTGGGATTAGAGGAACGTGATGGTCGCGAAGATCGTGAATTATTGGAGTTGTTTTGTTTGTTACAAGCAGAATTCACCAGCTTTAAATCCAATGAAAGTCGACGTAGATGAATCTGAAAAACATAAAAGGGTGACAAATCGTATCAACAAATGAAAACATAGAAAAGTAATTTCATTTAAAAATCATTTGCATGATAAAAGGATTTCCTTTAGCCCAACTTTTTTTTGTTTTTTATCACATCTTGCAAAGTTTGATTATCATTCACTTGTTCTCTCTGTTTGAATTGACTAACTTCTATGATGGAATGAGACTTGACTGAAAATCAGTTACAATTAGATTAAGTGAGGAAATAAGATTTTACACACACACACACACACAGAGTTTAGTAGTATAGCTTTCCCGATAAGTTAAATAATATATGTAGCTACATTACCTAACCTTTCATATAATCCTCAGCTTATTTGGCATTCAAGTTGCTACGCTTTGGTTTTCAAAGTCAATCTACCTATACAGAGATATGGTTCTTTGTTAAGAATTTGTTTGCAAATATGAGCAGCTTGTATAGGTGACTCACGTATAGTGCACATAAACTAACACTTAGTGGATAGAATAAAGACACACACGATAGCGTATATTTTGTGAGGTTTCAGTGCTATGTTGTTCAATCTCAATTCATCTTGTATTCTTTGTTCAGGATACCTTGATTATCAGGGGAAAACTTTGAAGTTCTACTAACCTGTTGAATATACTGAGTTGTAACAGAATTTCGCTGTCCCTATGTGGTACACTTTTTATCTACTCAAAATATCATTACAATAATCATAATGATTCATTGACAAACATTCGAACTTACTTGTTTACTGTTGACGCTGTCAGATTCTAAAATCTTATCAGACTGTGTGAGGTTTCGGCTTGTTTCTCCAACAAATGATGAAGGTGATGTTAAATTCCCACTATACGAAGGACTCAGTGACAGTGAATGACCTCCATGATTTCCTTCGGATATGCTACACACAGAGTCCGTGCATTCTCCATTCCCAAGATCAGTTAGATCTAAAGATTTAACAGAGCTATTTATCTCTGTATCCAGCATATCATCTAACGGGAAAGGACACAAATCAGATATGTCTGGAGATGCGGTTCTGTTTCGTTTGCTTTCCACCCCAGCATCATTTAGTTCTTTTGAACAATCTTGTTTATTTTTCAAATTTTCTTTCGACTGTAATGGAGATGACTGAACAGTTATAGACTTATTGTTACTGTCACTGGGTGACTGCGAGAACTTTGCATTACGATTTCTTTTGTTTTGAGGATTTTTAACAGCTATACCACCAGATGAGGGAACTGTCGAAGTTACAAAATTATCTGTAAATGCTGAGTTCGAAAGCGCAGACGATGAGTTTTGAAGCTGAGGTTCGATGCCAGACGGATTGTCGTCGAAATTCTTGGACTTCGGTAGAGAAGAACGACGCAGACTTGCTTGACTAGGCTTAAGAAATTGAAATATAAACACGATTGCTGATATGACAAATGAACAGAAATGAAATTGCATGAAAAAGACAGCAATAAATTACCCACTAGTTTTATATGACCACAATAGTATACCATTGATGTGGCATCAACATCAACGTACTTCATGGGAAACGGAATTATGATTGCAAACAAAAAAAAAGAAAAACATGAACCAATAAAGAAAGTATGAAATGAAGGAAAAAAGAACACGAATAATTTTCTGCAAACTGGAATTTCAATGTAACGGTATCATTAATATATGCATTTCTGTCGAATAGAAAAGGGAAATTTCATCTCGTTTAATAAACAGAAAGGACCAGTGATCGATACCAGCTTAAGGGAACGTTTTCTAAATTTTAATATGTTTAGCTAACAGTCTTTAACCACTTCTTAGAATATGGCAAAAGGTCAGAGATGGAAAGATCGAAAACGTGAAAACCTTAATAACAAATCTCACCGTTTGCCCATAAATCTACTAAGACACACATCATTACCAATATGTGGAATAAGTAGTCTAAAAAGGTACTTAAACAGTTGGATAGTTTAATTGCTGAGCTTTCAGTGTCTTTCTGAACAATGTCTTAAACGCAAATTCCAATGTGAAGTGAGCTTTAGAAATTCCTCAAGGAATCAAAAATCTACAGGTTCGGCGGAAAACAACTCAAAAAAATTTCGGCCAAAATACTAGCCCGTCTACTAATCACAATAATTAAGAGGTATTTTTTTGCATATTGAAACGCAAATAACGTTGCGGAATTCGAGGTACTAGCAGCAATTATTTTCATTTTACACAGTTCACAACAAAAGTACTCAAGGTTGTGAATACCGGTTTTGGTTATCATTAATTACTTAATTTCGAATTTAATGTTTCAGCTTTGTATTGCCTGAAAAGTGAAAAAAACTAGACGGTAATGTGCGTCAACAAAAGTAAAACATTATTACTAGTCATTATATATATATATATATATATATATATATATATATATATATAGTAATTGTGATTGTTAGAATACCTTTGTGATAACCAAAGCAGAAATATCTACCATTTTGACGTAAAATGATATCAATAAATTTCTTACAAAACCATTGAGCAAATTAAGGCCCTATATCTTTGTGACATTTTTATGTTTGCTTTTCTTATACACTTATTTAACTTATTTTTATTTTCATATGAAAAAGAAACTATAGGATATTACCAATAATTAATGCTTTTCTTAAGATAAAGCTAAGCAGTTATTAAACTGACGTATTTAAATTCAATAAGAAATAATGTACGGGAAAAGTGTTCATATTTGGTAGTACGGATGAGTTAGGAGGAAAGGCTAGAAGCTATTGGCAGACAGCCTAAAACAGAAATCCACAAGATTCATATGAAAGCCTTCGAATAGGTGATTGGATATAAGTTTTAGAACGTATAAGGGATACTGTTAACAGGAGAGTCGAATTCAAACATAAGGTTGACAGAAAAGGAAAATTCGTTGAACTTTACGCATAAGAGATCTTGACTGACAGCTAGTTTTGTCTTCCTTAATAACACTTTTTTGCTGAGGTCTTGGAAATGTGCAGACTTAAATATTACATAATGAAGAAGTCAATATGAATAAATAAAAATGTCTCAGGTTATAGACTGAAGTTATACTGAAGTATGCACCGTTTCGAAAGGATAACTGACAACTTAGTGGTGTTTCTTTTCATTGTGAGTGCAAGTTATGAAGTTGTACCTGCAAGTAACAAACTTATTTTACTCCTTGAAGATTTACCGTAAGCGATGAAGTCTCTACGGTACAAAAGTAACAGTGCGAACTGAATAATTCCACGGTAAATAATTATGGCCAAGTTTAAACGTATGTCTACTGCATACTGTCTGTCTGTCTATCTTTTTGACATAGAACTTTGCACCGATGTACGGCAGTTCAAGTCGCCACACTCCCTCCATGTAGCACACAAAGCAAGAGAAGAAAGTAGAAGAAATGCATAATATAGACAGTAAACAGAGGTGTGAAACAAAGGAATAGTAATAACGAAGAACAATATAGTTTCATTGGAAATCATAAGTCACAAGGAGTGGATGCATCTGCACCATTGAGAATGATTTTGAGCCATATCACCAATTGTTTCCAACCATTGGTTTTTACCGTCTCGAAGACCCCAACCAGAGCATCCACACCTTCCTACGTGGCTTAAACTAACTGTTGTAGATTTCATTGACTGATGTCATGTTTTGGTTTGACCACCACAGGCCATTTCCCAACCTGACCCTATGTCAGCTAACATTGCCCGTCGAGGAAGGCGATGACTAGGCATACGTAACACATGTCCTAACCATCTCAGTCAATGTAGCTTCACAGCCTCATCGATTGATTTCTCCTCCTTACCTAGCACTCGTCCGAAGCCTAATATCAATATTGCTCACCCTATTATACCACCTAACACGGGAGATGAAACGCAGGCACCTCCGATTAAAGACAGCTGGCCTTTTCCTGTCTTCCACTCTCAATGACCATGTCTCACAGCTAGCCATATAAGAGGGCGGGGTGGACTGCTAAGCAGTCCACATGCCATTTGATCGACAGTCAGCTGGATATCACATCTACGCCAGAGACGGCGTAAACTGACATATGCGAAACGAGCCTTCTGTATACGTGCTGAGATTTCGTCAGCGATCAACCCGTTGGGGCTGATGCAACTTCCTAAATAAGTGAAGTGGTCAATGTGCTCTACCACTTCACTCCCTACTTCTAAGCTTGGGGTCAATTTAGTCCAGTCCTGTAACCTCATCTTACATTTGGCAGGAGCGAATCGCATGCCAAACATTCGTAGACTGCAGCTCAAGGTGTTCAGAAGACTCTACCCGACCGAAAGCTGCTACCTTGACGTGGTGGTCGGGCTTGAACACTGCAATGACCCAACAAGCTATACTGGCTGGAACTTATGTTCCTGCAGGTCCTACCATGCCAGAAAGGTTGTTTAGATAGCGGTTAGACTAAAAGCAGTTACCCAATCCAATCCTATGACTTCAAATAAATCACAAAATATCATGCCGGATCGGTCGGGGCCCGGATTAACAACGACCGCGCTTTCTGCTGCCGTGTCACAGGGCAGAAGTGATAAATACGCTACTGAGACACACCAAATAAAAAACAACAGACAAAAACAGGCCGTGTGTGACCGGCCTCAAGCAGTTGTCCCCTGGGCTCTGCGGTCACGCAACCAACTTCCACGGTGTGGGCAGCCGGGAAGTAACAATCGCCCTCACAATCCGAAATGCACACGAAACCTCTCTAATCCTCACTCACCTTTGTCTTCATTTTCATCTCTATTATCTTGCCTTCCTTCTACTAATGCAACTCCTCTACTTAATGGCTCTTCACTTCCTCTTCACTCTGTGTGCACTGAAAACGACGGAAGCCAAAAAACCACCATCGATAGTCTCCTAAAGCCACGCCACCAATTTCATATAGGGGCATTTAATGTTAGGACACTTTGCCAAATAGGACAACAAGCATCTCTAGCCAAGACTCTGGCATCGCGAGCCATTGATGTATGTTGTGTTTCAGAAACACGCATACAAGACCCAAGTGTGGTTATTCACCTAACCCCACCTGGCCAACAGGATGAATCTGCAAAATTCACCTTGAGGGTGTCAGGAGATGAGACGGCTAGCTCACGAGGATTAGCTGGTGTTGGGATAGCTTTGAGTACTAAGGCAGAAAAGACATTACTTGACTGGATCCCGGTAGATAGCCGAATGTGTGCTGTTCGTCTGAACGGATCAGTGAAAAGGAGAAAGGATTGCACTACTCGCCGATGTCTTTTCGTAATCTCCGCCTACGCCCCCACTGACTGCAGTTCGGATGAAACGAAGGATGAGTTCTACCAAAAGCTGTCTAGTTTGCTGCGAAAGGTTAAACGCTCAGATATAGTCGTTCTAGCTGGTGACTTTAATGCTCAAGTGGGGAAATTGTGTCAATCTGAGAAGAATGTCGGTGGCACATACGGAATTCCGTGCCAGCGAACCGACAACGGTGACCGTCTCCTACAATTCTGTTCAGATAATCATTTGTTTCTTGTAAGCACTAACTTCAAACACAAGGAGAGACACTGTTTGACCTGGCGACCCCCATCATCAAACCAATACTGGACACAAATAGACCACATAGCAATAAGCTATCGTTGGCGTGGGTCGGTAGGGGATTGTCACTCCTTCTGGAACACGTGTGTAGATACCGATCACGCACTGGTCCGCGCTCGTGTGTGCTTACGACTGAACGGACGTAGGAAACAGCTAGCGGTAAACCCATCACGTCCCCAGCTCGATCAGGTAACTAAGTCCCTATTTGAGGAAGAACTAGCTAAACACATTTCTGAGTTTGACAGCTGCGCTCACCCTGAAGAAGCCTGGAAAAATATTCAGTCAGCCATAGATACAGCTGTAAAAGCTGTGAACGAGGTAAATCCAAAGGTGAGTAAAAACCATTGGATTTCGACTGCCTCATCCGAACTGATAGATGCTAGAAGACTTATTCCGGCGAGCTCCGAATTCAATGAGGAGCGAAAGCTGCACAAAAGGAAACTTACGAAAAGTCTCCGCAAGGACCGTGAACAGTGGTGGTTGACAAAGGCGAAAGAGATGGAAAAAGCATCGGCGATAGGCAACACTAGGCAACTCTTTAGACTCATCAGGGAAACGGGTGGGAGAAGGCAAATCACAAGTGAGACTATTTGTGAGAAAAATGGCTCCTTAATTAGCTCTCAGGATAGACGCCTCGAACGCTGGAAAGAACACTTTGAGGAACAATTTAACTTGCCTACAGCCACACTGAACCTCTCCGCCATCTAGCACACACCCGAATGGGATATAGACACTGGCCCGCCGTCTGTAAGTGAGGTCACAAAAGCTATCTGTAATTTGAAACGAGGCAAAGCGGCAGGACCCGACGGAATTATTCCGGAGGTGTTTAAATATGGGGGTGACATACTAGTATATAGTTTAACTAAGGTACTAGGTAACGTCTGGGAATCAGAGACGGTTCCATCAGACTGGGGTAAGTCACTTATTATACCAATATTCAAGAAGGGAGACAAGTCCTCATGTGATAATCATAGAGGAATCAGCCTAACGAACATAGTCTCTAAAATCCTAGGCTCAGTAATCATGAACAGACTAAGCCGAACTCAGGAGGAACAAACGAGGGAAAATCAAGCGGGCTTTAGGCCAGGTAAAGGGTGCATAGATCATATCTTCACTCTCCGACAGATCCTAGAACATAGACACACTTTTAGGCGTCCAACAATTGCCATATTTCTTGACTTGAAGGCGGCCTTCGACTCCGTGGATCGAGAGGTACTATGGCAATGTCTGACTATGAAGGGAGTGCCAAGAAAGTACATTGCACTAATCAAGGCACTCTACTCAAACTCACGTAGCTGTGTAAGGGCTTATGGGGAATTGTCATCTGAATTGATAACAACCAGTGGTGTCCGTCAAGGATGTCCACTTTCCCCTTTTCTGTTTAACTTCATCATAGATGTGCTAATGGAAGTATCCCTAAGTGAACTTAACGACTTAGGAATCGACTTGTTACCAGGGAATAGTCTTATGGACTTAGAATACGCAGACGACATAGTCCTGTTAGGGGAAGATGCTGACAAAATGCAGAGTCTTCTGAACACCTTGAGCAGCAATCTTCGTATGTTTGGCATGCGATTCGCCCCTGTAAAATGTAAGATGCTGCTACAGGACTGGACTACGTCAACTCCTAGCTTAGTGATAGGGAGTGAAGTGATAGAACATGTTGACCACTTCACCTATTTGGGAAGTTGTATCAGCACCAACGGATTGATTGGTGACGAAATCACAGCACGGATCCAGAAAGCTCGGGCTGCTTTCGCTAACTTACACCGTCTCTGGCGTAGGCGTGACATCCGGCTGTCAACCAAGGGACGTGTATACTGCTCAGCAGTTCGCTCCGTCCTTCTCTATGGCGGTGAGACGTGGCCATTGAGAGAGGAAGACATGAAGAGATTGTCTGTTTTTGACCACAGATGTTTACGATCTCTTTCTCGCGTTAGGTGGTATAATAAGGTAAGTAATGTTGACGTTAGGCGTAGAGTGTTGGGCAAAGAGGGAAAATCAATCGACGAGGCTATGAAGTTACATAGATTGAGATGGTTAGGTCACGTGCTGCGCATGCCTAGCCATCGCCTCCCCCGACGGGCATTACTAGCTGATATAGGTGCAGGTTGGAAAAGAGTAAGTGGTGGCCAAACAAAAACATGGCATCAATCCATGAAATCCCTGACAGTTAAACTGAGTCAGGTAGGGAGATGCAGACTTCCGGGTTGGGGCCCTCGGGACTCTAAGAATCAATGGCTGGAGACAATAGGTGACATGGCTCAAAATCGTTGTCAATGGCGCAGATGTATTCAGCCTCTTTAACCTTCATATTCCTTTCTACCATTACTCATTCTGTTTCACTCTTATACTTATCTAAATTCTATTGATTCTCTTCTCTCATTTTCCTGTCTACCTTTGTGTGCTATTTGGAACGTGGCAACTCGAACTGCTGCACTTCGGTGCCAAGTTCTATGTTGAATCCAGCAACAGCAGAAGACTCTGTATACAGTTTTCTTTGATTCAAGTACGTAACTTAAAAAGAACTAACTTTCCATTGGTGATATTCAAAACGATTTATTTACAATCCTGCTACTCACTAACGATCGCTGTAGTTTCTGCTTTCTAAATTTACTTAATTTAATACGAAAGGACATCTTTGGTATGCTGGAAAAGGAGGATTTATAGCAGTGTCAATCATTAACTGTGTCACTAAATATAAGGTTTGACTCCGTAGTTCGTCTTGCTAAATTGGAGTCGCATTATTCTTAGTAAATGGATTGAAAAACTATTGCATAACTATTTAGGACCGACTGTTAAACTGACAATTTTATCCTTGGTAAACGACTAATATCTTGCGCCAACATTATTTTTCTATTTTTAGTTCGAAATATGTACTTCAAAATACACTATTTAATAGTCTTCTAGTCTTTCGATTGATTAGCCGTGTCAGAAAGGTTAACTAGAAATTAAGGAATGTTGGTGGCTGACAGCTGGTATTCATCAACAAGATGGTGGCCAAGACAATTTGTGCATTTGCATGCCACTCAACCACAAAAATTTAGCTACTAAAATCCCCTAGACGAAGATGAAGTGATTAAGTCAAATGGTACTTATTAGAAAATATTTCTCTTAATCGATCAGATTAAATCTCTGTTAGCGCTTAAGGAACTATTTTTCCAATACAATCTATAATGGTTACAACTAATGCAAATTTTTTATTCCATTTCATCAAACAACATAATTTCTTCTTATTTGCTTCTTGATGACTGGGATGTGCAAATTAACATAATTAAATAGCAGTTTTTTGAATTTTTGAAAAAATCACAAAAGAATAGTGTCCTATTTAAAGTGAGGTGAACCAGATGACAAATTAAAATCTTCTCATCGACTGAAGTGAATGAGATATGTTGTATATGTCTGGCAACCACCAGTATCAACATGCAATTTTAGGTCAAGTAGTAGGATAAAGTAAACTTTGTAACAGGTTAACTGAATTAAAACATCACCGCTCCACCTAGATCTCCAACAATTACACTATGGAACGTGAGAAATGGCAAGAGTACAGTTAACAGACAGTATTAATCAATGGGAAATTTCAATAATGTTTGAAATCTGTTTCTGTAGCGCAGAAGCACCAAAGCTTTGTCCATCAGCTTAATTGGGTTAGTTTAATACTCTGCGCATATCATATCGTCGTTCCTCATTTAGTCTGCTTAGTACTGGCGATACTTCTTCAAATTAAATCATCGTAAGAAAGGAACATTGACGTGAATCATTACTTCAAAATAAAGGAAAACGATCCAAGGGACAGTCTTGCATTTCCTTTTCCGATATAGTCGTTCACTTGCTTTCGACAGGAAAGAGTCCTGAATTCTCTGGACTAGTTACCATTGTTTTGGTGTAGCATTCCGTACACAGTATGAAAACTACTTAAATTGACTCCAATGAAGAAAAAAAAATTAATTTTTCATTGAAAATTTTACTTACCGACTTTTTAGCACTCATTTCGTTTGCGCCCTTTTTGTTTTGAATACTGTGGGCATTGGACTGTAGTGATTCGCTGAAAGGCGTGTATCGATACCGATTTCCAACATGAGCCCGGAGACCAGCTCGATTTCGAATACGTGGAGTGAATTCCCCTTTGGCCTGGCGATCAGAAAAGTCTTGCAGAGCTTTCGTAAAAAATTCGTTGTTAAGGGCAGTTGGATGCAACCATACAGAGTTTGACTGTTCAGGCAACTCAATACCAGAAGATAGGGAATGAGAGGGACTGCAGTCATTCTCATCGAAAACACAGTTATCTGAGGAAGTTTGTTTGCAGTGATCAAACAATGGGAGAAGTTGACAAAGTATTTGTTGAACGTCTACCGGGAGCGAGAAGAATGTTTCTCTGTTGATAAGCAACTACAAACAGAAAAAAATACTAAAAAAATATCAAACATTAAGAACAAAATTTTTTAACCAAAATTTTAGTGAAAGGAAACTATAGGTTAGAGAAAAATTCCTTGCTTTAAATTCACTGTTTTGAGTCAGAAAAGTCTTTTCCCTACAAAACTAAGCTCGGGAAGCTAGGATGCATTATCACCCCCTCAAAGAAAAGGTTTGCCTTATTACTACGTGCATTTAAATGCAGACGGTTGTTGTGTACGACTTTACAGAAAAAACCAAACGGGAAAAATCTATGTAGCTTGATGCATACCACATCACACGAAAAACTGTTTTCTTGGACGATGTGCAGTAACAATTCACAAATGACCACAAACGGAAGCATTTGAAAGAAACTACTAAAGAAGTAGTTGGAAAATTCACTGAACTAATTTTAAAGAAAGACCAGTAGAAAAGCTCTTACTAAGGTCCAAAGTTAAGTTTGTATACGGAAGTTAAGGTCTCGTACTTTATATATATATATATATATATATATATATATATATATATATCTTTATATATATATATAATTCAAAATTATTTCCGCTTCTAAATTCCTTAGTTTACTAGACAGAACAGTAAAACAGTATTATTTACTGGACCAGGTTTGGAACACAGTTCATTGTTCATAATCATATCAAATGTAATTCAACAACTTTGAAGCTTGGCCTTTGTAGTTATTATACAAGTTCCCTTAATCACCTTCGTCAAAGCAAGAACAAATTTTACAGTTCCCTTTCATTTATCACGGAGACAGCAGAATTTTCTGGATATCCAAGACTACTACCGAAGGATTCCTTTGCATGCATTTCTAGCTGATTAGATAGACAAGGTTTCTCTTTCCTGACTATGAAACTCACAAGTAAATCGGGTTGCATGTACCAGGGAATTTTTTGAAAAACCTACAGATACCCTGTGTTAATTACCATCAGTAAAAACAGAATTAGTCAAATATCAAAGAAATACAATGAACAGCTAATCAATACATAAGAAAATAACAGGGGAAAAAGAAAAAGGAAATGACGAATTCAGACTTCGTGAGTCACTACTCCATCGGGACTGATATAGCTTCCCTAGTAAGTGAAGTGGTTAACACACCTGAAGACGGGTGAAATAGTGAAACGAGAAACTAATGTGAACCATTTGACAGGGGTAATAAATACCAGATTTACCCAAAAGAAGTATGGAAAATTTAGTATCTGACAACGGGTCGTGTGAAATTATACGATGTACACAAAACAGCATATCATAGCCTTTTCAGCATAGCGAATGAATTCCCTATAGATAGATTGTGGGAAAACCTAGTAGTAGCATTGCCTAACCAAGCACAGCTAGAATTTTGCATATCATTGGCCCTGGAACAGTATATCAAACAAACAAAGTGTCATGACGTTTAGCGTGCCTTCTAAACTAAGAACTCAGTTTCCTCCGTCCGGCAGAGATTTCAGCTTCCGGCTAGAGTAGACACAAAAGCCTAGGTGCCATAAAAGCTTTCATATGTGCAGTTTCATCAGCAGACTTCACCACAAACCCTGAGGCCAAACTAGACGCTGCTTGGTGTCCTCTAAAGTGCGTATGGACTGAGCCCATGAACTATGGAATCAGGAACAGAAACACTGTCATCCATGGATGAATCGAGATTTATGCTCTGGTTAGATGAAATCAAATGCGGCAGCATGTTTCTCATGCTCCATAATCCAGAAGCTAGAAACCTGTATAATACAGCTAGAAATAAATGTGTTTATACGACTGACTGGTTTCGACGTAGAACTCTGCACAGAAGTACAGCAGTTTAAGTTGCCACACTCATAGCAGCACACAAAAACGAGAAAGAAAAAGATGCATAAGAACAGTAATAAGCAGAAATGTGAGCGAGAAAAGATAGTAATATGAGAAAAAACGTGCGTTTACTGGATATAGATCACAAAGCGTTAATGCATGTGTGCTATTGAGAACGATTTAAGTTAATATTACCATTAGTCTCTAACTATTTGTTACTAAAATCCAGAGGAATTCAACCAGGTAGACTGCACATCCCTGTCAAAGACTTCATGGACTGATTTCAAGCTTTGGTTTGACCACCACCACACAGTAATATCAATATTACTGTGTAACACTGTGTGATTTATCAAAATAAAATCTTATCCATAATGAAATAGTTTTTTTTATCATATCTCCCACTTTCAATGGTCATGTCTCACGGCCATAAAGGAGGATAAAGAGATATGCTGCTGCTGCTGCTGGATTCAACATAGAACTTGGCACCGAGGTGCAGCAGTTCGAGTTGCCACGTCCCAAATAGCACACAAAGGTAGACAGGAAAATGAGAGAAGAGAATCAATAGAATTTAGATAAGTATAAGAGTGAAACAGAATGAGTAATGGTAGAAAGGAATATGAAGGTTAAAGAGGCTGAATACATCTGCGCCATTGACAACGATTTTGAGCCATGTCACCTATTGTCTCCAGCCATTGATTCTTAGAGTCCCGAGGGCCCCAACCCGGAAGTCTGCATCTCCCTACCTGACTCAGTTTAACTGTCAGGGATTTCATGGATTGATGCCATGTTTTTGTTTGGCCACCACTTACTCTTTTCCAACCTGCACCTATATCAGCTAGTAATGCCCGTCGGGGGAGGCGATGGCTAGGCATGCGCAGCACGTGACCTAACCATCTCAATCTATGTAACTTCATAGCCTCGTCGATTGATTTTCCCTCTTTGCCCAACACTCTACGCCTAACGTCAACATTACTTACCTTATTATACCACCTAACGCGAGAAAGAGATCGTAAACATCTGTGGTCAAAAACAGACAATCTCTTCATGTCTTCCTCTCTCAATGGCCACGTCTCACCGCCATAGAGAAGGACGGAGCGAACTGCTGAGCAGTATACATGTCCCTTGGTTGACAGCTGGATGTCATGCCTACGCCAGAGATGGTGTAAGTTAGCGAAAGCAGCCCGAGCTTTGTGGATTCGTGCTGTGATTTCGTCACCAATCAATCCGTTGGTGCTGATACAACTTCCCAAATAGGTGAAGTGGTCAACATGTTCTATCGTTTCACTCCCTATCACTAAGCTAGGAGTTGACGTAGTCCAGTCCTGTAGCAGCATCTTACATTTTACAGGGGCGAATCGCATGCCAAACATACGAAGATTGCTGCTCAAGGTGTTCAGAAGACTCTGCATTTTGTCAGCATCTTCCCCTAACAGGACTATGTCGTCTGCGTATTCTAAGTCCATAAGACTATTCCCTGGTAACAAGTCGATTCCTAAGTCGTTAAGTTCACTTAGGGATACTTCCATTAGCACATCTATGATGAAGTTAAACAGAAAAGGGGAAAGTGGACATCCTTGACGGACACCACTGGTTGTTATCAATTCAGATGACAATTCCCCATAAGCCCTTACACAGCTACGTGAGTTTGAGTAGAGTGCCTTGATTAGTGCAATGTACTTTCTTGGCACTCCCTTCATAGTCAGACATTGCCATAGTACCTCTCGATCCACGGAGTCGAAGGCCGCCTTCAAGTCAAGAAATATGGCAATTGTTGGACGCCTAAAAGTGTGTCTATGTTCTAGGATCTGTCGGAGAGTGAAGATATGATCTATGCAAGAGAAATGCTGCACAGTACACACGTCCTTTGACTGATACCCGTATATTATCTTTACGTCAGAGATGGAGCAAGTTGGCGAATGCCACAAATACATTTACATGGAATTGCAATGACGTACCTTAAGTGATAACCTCGCCTAGTTTACTAGTGCAACAGTTTTCCAGCCGGTACCAAGCCTGGGAAAAGACGAAGGGTTGCGAGTGGGCCAGAGACCCTACCCAGGAAAATCAATCAAACTGAAACAGAGACTCCAACTCACAAGAAAAATATTAAAAATACAAAACACATTAAAAAACAAACTTATTCCTCTCTGGAATCCGAGAGGCGAAATGACACAGCGGACTGGTGAAAGCCTTCAGGATGCCAGTCAGCCAGCCGATGTGTATTCTCTCGATGAAAGCAAGAATAAGAATGGAGACGTGGAATGTACGTACAATATACGAAGCCAGCTGGGAACGTTGCCCAGGTAACCAGTGAAATGTGAAGACATGGCATAGAAGTGCTGGGAATCTGCGAGAGCAGATGGAATCGATGTGGACTATCGAAATTGTCAACTGGTGAGTCAGTAATCAATCTAGCCCAACCTGGTCACCCAGACGAAAACCACGAGCACACTGAGTGGCTATCATGATGTCAACAACAGCAACCAAAGCCCTAATGCAGTGGGAGCCAATCTCCTCCAGGATTAAGACAGCAAGATTCAACTCAATTGGAAGGAAGGTCACAATCATCATCAACCCCTTAAACTCTCCACCACAAGATGTGTAAATTTACTTTGTTCTCTGACCCTGACCCTGTAATATGCCTCTAACCAATCTGTGTTGTTTTCCAATAGAAATCTGAACTCTTACCCCTCTTATCCAATTCCACTATATATAATTAGTTGTTTTTTGACACCGAATAATCTGTCTACCTACATCAATTTCTGGAATTATGTTCCTTATGCCTTCTATCTATAACTCAAAGTATTTATGAAAAAGTATGTTCCACAACTTTCTTGAAACCTATAATTTGATTTTGTTTAGGATGTATGCAGTTGATGAGAATCCACGAAATAAAACGAGCTCGTATTATCCTGCAAATATGTTCGTTCTTTCTCTCTTCAAACAATCATCTAATGCTACGCACACTGCTACAAACAATTCGAAACAAGAGGAAAAGGGGATTTCTATAGAAAACTAAAAACAGTAATGGACAACATGCCTAATGGCGACATCAAAATCCTTATGGGCCACACGCATGCCAACCAAACTGGGAGCAGATAATACGCGGAGAGAACTCGTCATGGGTCGACAGGCTCTCGATCGGCGAAATCAATGACAACGGAGAATTCTTCTCAGACTTCTGTGCTTTCAATGATTTGGTGGTCGGAGGCAGCGTGTACATGCACAAGGATACACACAAAGCAACATGAATTTCGCCTGACGTACACACCACAAACCAAATAGACTGCATCTCAGTATTGCTCAAGGAAGTGGAGACTCAACCTGTTAGATACAAAGTCGAGAAGGGGAGCAGATGTTGGCTCAGACCATCATCTAGTTCACCGAACCTCCAACGTGAAGCTGAAAGCCTTTAGAACAACTCGAGACAAGCCACAATTCAAGTTTAACATTCAGAAAATGAAAGATGCAGCTACAAAAGAAGATACCTTCACTGCAGCTATCGGAGCAAAGTCGGAGACACTACATGACACCACTGAGGAAACCTGTGTGGAAGAACATTGGAACTAACTCTCTGAAAATGACATTCAGCGAAACGTGTACAACTGTTCTAGAAAGAAAGGAGAAATCAAAACAATAGCTCTCAGCAAATACCTGGGAGCTGATAGCGATTGTGGAGGACAGTGAAAGAGAAGATGAGTCAGTGCAGAAATGGACAACAGAAGGAGAGGCTAAGTTCAATGTACACTGTACTGAATAAAGAGAGAAGTGCAGAAGGGTGATAGGAAAGACAAAAGACAATTCAACGACACACTGGCCGGCAACTGGAGCAGAACACGCCGGTAAAAGTGACCTCAGAACATTATGTCAGATAACCAGGTCTCTATTGTGGAAGAGATCAATCCAGATAATGAAACCAATAAAAGATGCTCAAGGAAACCAGATTACCAAGGAAGAGAAACAAACAAAACAATGGGCTGATCACTTTAAAGGACTCTTGAAGCGACCATCGCCAGAAGCTACCCCAGGAATACCACCACTGGAAGCAAACACAGAACTGACTGCCAGTCGACGCCAATCCTCTAACCAAAGCAGAAACCTTGAATGCGATCAAACCACAGAAGTACAGTCGGGAAGGCAGACGGAATTTCCCTTGTCCCCGAAGCACAGAAAACGAATCCAGAGACTGTGGCAGATGTTCTCACGCCATTATTGAAAAAGGTTTTGAAGGAAGGAAAGGTGTCTATCGATTGGAAGAAAGGCTAGCTAACTCGTCACGCTACCAAAGAAGAGCCACTTATGAGGAGAATAAAGCATGCAACTGGATGCACAACTTCGCATCACGAAACAAGCTGGATCCAGGATAGGCGAATCATGCGCTGATCAAATTCAAAATCCACCCACCGTCATCGAATGAAGCATAAAGTGGCAGTCAAACCTCTACCTCAACTTTACAGACTTTGAAGAGGCCTGCACCACACATAGTTGACCGAGAACTGATTCGGGAACTATTTAAACAGTATAGCGTCCACTGCCTTAAATTTTTATCAACCTCATTCAACAGTTGACAATATGATAATGCCACGTGTCAGTCAGGTGACCTACAACAGAAAACACACTCAGTGAGACGCTCGAGGTGAATACAGAAGTAAGACAGTGCCAGTGCATATTATCACTGATGATACTACTAACTGTGGTTATGCGTCAGACGGGAAGTGCGACGGGAGTGAGAAGACAGATATGCTCTAGACCACCGATTAGAAGACTAGAAGATCTGGATTTCGCAGATGACTTCTGTTTAATGTCACACAAACTCGAAGACTTGCAAGCAAAAGCCAACAAACTGAATGAAGAAGCAGGCTGACAGCGAAGACAGGACGCCAGGTGGACATAGAGAAGATGGACACAACCAACAGACACGACAGACAGCACCAACCACCATCAACGCGAGATGTTTGATAGAGGTTACTTCCTGGCTTCACTTATCTAGGCAGTCAGTGTCCTTTCAATCACAGGCACAGCGAATGAGGATGTCAAAGCCAGCCAGAATCGGAAAGGCAACATATGTTTTCATCAACCTGAAATCAATCAATTTGGAAATCTTCTGCACTCCGCCGCATAAACAACAAGATTTGGATTTTCAACACAAATGTGAAGTCAGTCAGTTCTACTATATGGGTCAGAAACTTGCACTGCGTGTCACAAAAGCATTTCCAACAGACCACTGCGGACTTTTATCGACAGCTGCCTCCGCTCTCTGTTGAAGGTCAAATGGCCAGAAAGAATAAGAAACGGGAAAACATGGGAATAAACTAACCAAGAACGTATCATTGAACAAATATGTGACAAAACGTGGAGATTGATTAGGCATGCACTGAGGAGACCATCGAGTGACATCACGAGCCAGGCCGTCACTCGAATGGAACCTGAATAGGAAACAAAGACTGGGAGTCAGTCGGATGGTGACATGAGGCGATCGTGTGGGTAGGAGATGAGAGATTGTGGATGATCTTGTAGCCACTATCATCGAAACAACCCTAAAAAAGGGAGTGCCACCGTTTGACCATGGTGGAGAAACTAGGTAGCATTTTCCAAAATATGTTACTTTTACCAGTAGCTGAATTAAAATTTTGAAGATTACTAGAAAGATGTTATGGCTTACGTCGAGAAAAATACTTGTGATCACAGCAGAGGGGGAAAATCTCTCCTGTCCAATGAAACTTTTTATAGGAGGAGAAAAGATGAGTAAAGTCTAAGGATAACACATATTCCAACATAGTAGTTATATAATGTATTTAAGAATCTGGTGACCCGTACAAGAGTGCTTAAGGAGCTGACAGTTATGGAGTCACTGGTGGTGTAGTCAAATGAAGACGGTGTGGATCAACCCGAAATCTCTTCATGAACTATGGTACAGATTGGGATGCCTCAAGGCACTGTATTCAACTTCCTTCGGTTTCCACTGTATATGAACGAATTATCTAAGCACATCGCGTTACGCATTACTTAAAAAATTGGAGGGAAATAAATTAGGACAGTGAGGTGCATACACTTCGAATAATGTGGTTAGTAGTATGGTTTATCCCTATAAATGTACGCCAAGTATATGACAATGCGCATCGTACAAACAAATGACAATGTATGCAAAATCATAGGGAAAATCTTAGTCTAGTTACCGTTTGAAATTGAAACTCTGCAGTAGCCACCTGAGTAAGTGATTTTAATGTATAATTACCTATTTATGAACCCTAGGTAATTTCACCTAGAACTACGGAGACATTAGGAACGATGACAGTATTGAATACCTATGTGAAGCAAAAATTTTCAGAATTCATCATATAGCAATTATTCTGATATTATTTAACTACAATCACACTTCCTGAGGCAGAGATTAAAAGCAATGTAACATTTTATGAGAGGATGTAAAGTTACACAACAGATACGTAAATTTACTTTACAAGCTTTAATACGCAAAAATAATGAAGTGCATAAGAACAATGGAGACACTGGATGATAGTTTGCTTACTTTAAGATTCACTTTCGTTAAAATTGAGTTAGGATTTTCAAGATCAAGCGTATCCAAAAAAGAAGAAGCCTGTTTTCTCTTCGCAGTCGTCCTTCTCATGTTATAACCTGAGGTGAAACCAGACAACTCTCCGCACTGCCTAGAAGCCTTACTCAAATTAGTTAAAGGATCTGAATTTGATTCTTTCGTCGAATCCTCTCCAAGTCGTGTAAAAGGATCACCACCCAGCAAAGAACCAATGTTTGCATGAGATGCATCGTCACAATCACCAGCTGAATGGGGAGAACCGCTGTGTTTGATGTCGAGTGTTGGATCATGCCCTCCACAAATATTGTTAGGTGAATGGCGAAGGCGAATTCGCAACTTGGGTATGAAAGGTGAATCTCTAGCTGGTTTAGGTGGGATAATTAATTTTGATGTTGCATACATATCCGATGATATATACATGTACAATGTACTATGTTACAGATCCATGACAGTTTGATACACATTCATGTTAATTCATCTTGATACAGCAAAATTCAACAAGTGTAACATATTTAGCACAGATAAAACACCAACGACAAGCAGTACAGACTCCGAGGCTAGAACTACGTTCCCGCGCAAATACGCCAAAACAATAAACTGCTTTATGACGTTACAATTGACAGAGTGATGAAATATCTTGATTTCACCACAAAGTAATAGCTCTGAGAAAGTTTTAAAAGTGACAGATCAGTGTCTCGGTATAAAATTGAGCATTTTAATTGAGGCATGACTCTGAGCAAGGGGATAGTATTTCAATATACTTCTCCGTTTAAAGGGCTATTTCTACTCAAAATTACCCCAGATATCGTTACGTCCGATACTTTTCCAACGTTTATAGATAATCCAGGAAAGATTTAGGGGTGCACCTTCAATCGCTTCAAGCATTGAAACATTGAACTGAACGTGACTTTGATAGAGTCTATTTTGCTGGAATAATGCTTTCATCACTGACTTCGTTTCTCATTTCAGAGGAAATTCATGGTGTGGTATCATGGAACAAGCTATACTTAGAGCATGTTAACTTTTATTTTATTTCTCTCTTATTTTGTATTCTTTAGTGAACTCCTCAAACATACTTAGCTACCTAAAATATTAACATTGGCTTCCTTTTTTGTACTTCACTATATTCCTTCTATTGTGTATCCACTGGTTCCGACTCTATTAGCACTATGAGTATTACAAAATTGTCCTGTCATTAACCATCATGTAATTATTAGTTTTGTGGCTGTTTTTTTCTTATTTACTATACTTTTCGGTAATACTAAACTGGCAATCATTGGTTGTGAAAGCCATAGTCACCACCTTAAAAAATTTTGTATTATTCAGGATTGCGCACACCACCACAACAAACACTGCATTAGACTCTGGTAGACTTTTGTACTTTTTCGCATTTATAATTATTTTGTGTTTATCCTGTTGTTGTTTTTTTCATTTTGCTGTTGGTGTCTTCAGATTTATTTTTTGTTTTGTTTAATACTTATTTTAAATGTCTGTAAAATTAGATGCAAATATTGTAGATATGTGCTGAAAATTCCACACTGTACCACTAGTACTGTTTCTGGAATAAAGCAAATTATTATTATTAAGAGGTTACCTTTGAATAAGGAGCTATCTCACATCTGCCAGTAGAATAAACTGTATGGGCATCCCATATCAACAGATGCTTTCTTTAGTGTAATCTACGGAGCAAAGAATAATCCTGAAAAAACCAATACACTTTCGTCTCATTTTTATTGTTGAAACCTTAGCCAGAGTTGTGCATATTTGAGAAAATCATTCAACCACTTCTACCTTCGATTTATACCGACTTGATACTCATGTGCTTTTTTTCTAACCGCTTATGACTCTTGTGCGGCGTTGGCACAGCGGTAGAATGCCCGCCGACCACGCAGATGGTGCGGGGTTCGATACCTGGCCGACTCACTATTTTACCTCGCTAAACCAGTAATTAGGCTGGTAAAGAGGGAAGGTTGGGCACGAGGCTGGCAACTTCATCCCATAAAATAAACCCTACTGCTATCAAAAATTCAAGTCTGTAGCTTGAAGCCTGTATGTTCCGCTGGGAACGTAAAGGAATAAAATAAATAAATAATATAACTCTTGTATTTCTCTAGAACTCTTTCACAGTTGCAAATTTTTCCTTCACTTCTGTATGCATCTTGATCACAACCCACCCATTAAATTATACATCTTATTACACCTATTCAACTTCTTTAATGCAGTGACTAACTTTGACAATTATATTTGTAACAGCTCATTACTATTAACTTTTTAGTTATCCTCACCCACCCTTAGTTACGATTTGATTGTTATTCACATTTTTTGAAATATTTTAACGATGCAAACAATAATCTAGACTAATTTTTTGAAACATCATTATAACTACTATTATGGCTGATTGCACGGTTTATATGCACAATCTAATTTTTCACTTGTGTGACAAACCTGATGTAGATACATACACAAAAATGATTATATAAAAATGCTATTGTACGGCAAATTGAATGGATCCTCCAAAAAGAGACTCTTCTCTGAACTACATGACTTGTTTTTCATCAATATCTGGATGAAGGATTATTCATGAATTGTATATAAAGTCATCAAAAGGTCACTGATAAGTTCCTTACAGCAACTCTCATGGCATCATTCAGTGTATTTCAAATTAGATTCACCCCACTTTGTTGTTGCGGAAGGCAATATAAGTTAAAGTTGTTAATACCCTACTAGCAAACAGGTATTGACTCTCGGATACCTTACATACACATGCAGGTTGAGTAAACGTGCTGCAACTCTGGTTAAAATTTGGAGACAGTATCTACTGCAACGCTCTTTATTCACTAACCAGCAAATTAGTTCATTAGTTATCTCATTACGACATAAATTGAGTAACTTTTTCTGAAATGCAACCAATCAGTCTAACCCTTTCAAGACACTAGCAGTAGGTGCAAAATTTAATTTCGTCCATTTTAAATATTACTCCATTTCTTCGCCTGAGTATACTGTTGATTCAGCTCAGTGTGGTTGCCCCTTCCCAAACCAACTAGGTGGTTTTTGAAAGTTGGTGACTGGTATCTAACATTCGTGCATAAGTGACCGACAGTAAATTAGCCACCTTAACACGTATCCTTTCACTAAGGCTTTCGATACCTCTTGACACAATAATCCAGCCATTCCAAACCTATTTCATTTTACCCCTATTCCAATCAACGTTTGATGTATGCTTGTCACACCTACTATCAGTTCTAACATACTGAGGGTTTTTATTTTTTAAGGTGAGCTTCGTATTTTTCAAGCAGTAATTTCAACATCGTCCATGTTTCTGAGCTAATTTCCAAATGAAAAAATATTGTTCATGCCATAAAGTTCAGCTTACTTTTAATTTAGATCTAAAACAGAGGGTCAACTACTTCAAATAACTCCTCTTCTAGATTATCTGGCTGGAAACTGAGTGTTACTAATACCTTGCTGTTTGTAGCGTAACGCATGAAAAGTTGAAAAATATCCAAAGGACAGATATGCTAATATAAGATAGTGAAATTCCTCACATTAATTAAAAACTACATCTGTTACGTAAAGTCACCTATATATTTTGGGATGATAACATGACACATCCTTTTTTCGAAGGGATGCCACCTGCTTTGTCTGACGGGCATTTGCGCCGTTTGGCGGATTCTTTTGTTTGGTTCTGGGCTTTGTATTTGACTTTATACTGATGCTTGTTTGACTTTTGATGTATTGACTACTTTTGAAGGTGGTTGTTTAACATTATTTCTAGGTATGCACTCATTGATTGGGTAGAAGGGTGTTAAAATGTCTTGTGCAATAACTATATGGCATACCTGCTATACTTTACGCACATTGAGATTGGTACCTAGGGATTTCGTTACAGCTTGGTGTCGGCCTGCCCTCGATCCTTCGGAAAGTAATGACACTTCCAGCCTTGTGTCACCATTGGTCCATATCTCTAGCTTTTTCATCATTTAGAACCTCCTTGTCTGGTTCTCGTTTCTGGGGGTTCTTCAATGGCCTGAATTAAGTATACATTTCATTTTTGATGGCGAAATGCTCAATGTTATAATAATAATAATTTATATTTCGTATAAACGGGTAAGTTTACAAGAAATGCATACCATTTTTACAGGCATGATCAGTTATGTTATAAATTACAGTCGTGAAGTATCACAAATTATTACTTTTTCAAAATTTTAAATTGTTCAATTATTGTACAGGCAATCAGAGCAGGTTCTTATGAATGTTAAATAGTAAACTCTTCACTAAGGTCACCACCAAAGTTAAGCGCCATCATAAACTTCGTTCCGTTTCCTGCTGATGTAATAGAAACAAAACCTATATTACAATACTAATCAATCTTTTATTTTCTCCACTTGCAGGAAGACACCCGAGAGTCAACTGCCTGGACCAGGAGACACATGAGTTGCAGAATTTAAACATTAATGAAGCCCAGTAAAACCGTTATACCCAAAAGCTCAACCCCAGCACTTTTTAAAAAATCGGTTTTGTGAAATAAGTTCTCTCTTGCACAGTTCGCGTTCTGCTTGCATTATCTGTGTGTTTGCTGGTTTATCTGTTACAAATTGGTGTCGGAAGTGTCGTAAATCTAGTCTAAACATGAAATCAGACTCAAACGAATCTCCCGAAATAATCTTCAGCCAGAAAACCAAAACACATCTCCCATCCCCAGAACACATTTTACCTCTGCGAGTACCACCGTTGATCATCAACAGCGATTATGAGCTGAGAAAATTTCGCATGGAACCCCTTCTCGCAGGTCCGCCTCCACAAGCCCGGTACAATCATATCATGCTAGCAATGAGTGATGCCGCGTTACGGCGTGCAATCGCTGGTGGATTTTCTGCATCCAAACCCCTCAGCTACAACTGGCACATTTTAGAATAATGTTTTGTAAAATCCTCTAACGCCTCCACGTACATGCCCACATTCTTAAGCCGATGTCAAGATCCAGATGAAACGGCTACCGACTATCTTCATCAGCTTCGCCAGATTGCCTCCTACACATTCCGTAACCTGCCTAGCGCTAGCCAAGATGAGGTTATTCACTCCCGATTTGCGCAAAGTCTCCTATCGCACGAGCCCAAATGCCAGGTATTCCACCAACCAGCTAAATCAATCTCAGAAGCTCTCGAGGTGGTCAAACGATTCGAGAGTGTATAGCGCATGCTTTCGCCATCCGCCAGTATATCCTGCTATGCTCTCGGGACCTCTTAGCGAAGGACAACAGTCCCAGCCCCACAACATTCTGTACGCGGTACGTCCAACGTTTGCGTTACATTTTTGCGTGATTCGTTACATAAAATTTATCTTGCTGTAATCCTTGCACAAGTACTCTACTACCTCCATACCCATAACTATTAACTCTCATATCAAATAGTTATGGTTAACCAAAGTAAAGAGCAACGAATTCAATCCCCTGTAAAACTGATGCTTAATTTTACGTCCTTGATTGCTACATCAAGCAACACACTCCCTACAAACGGTTACAGTGAGCCACATAACTCACCTGTATGTCGTAAGCGTCGAGCTGAAACTGAAGATAAAACTGTACTGACAGCTAGTATTAGCACTACTCCCAAAAATTCAGTACCCTCTGCTCATACAGAAACCCTCCCTACACCTTATGTACTTATCGAAAAGCTCCAGTCTTCAAGCTCTGTTTCAGTACTATCTTCAGAAATAGAACTCCTAAAGTTGTCTATAGGAGAACTTAAGGCCGAGTTAAGGGAAATAAAAAATAATAAATCAGTAAATCTTGGAATTTTTGAAACCAATACCAAAATATCCAAATTATCAGATCAGATCAGCGATATCAGATCGCAGGTCTGTGAACTGACACCCTTAACTATTCTCATGAAAACCGTAGACCTTAACAAACTTGACACGGAATCAGTATCTAAGGTGGATAACCTCATTAACTTTGTTACTACAGAAGTAACAAAACGACTCGACGCTAAACTAAATGCTATTGTCTACAACGTTCCGGATAATGAGGCACTAAAAAAGGTACAGCGCATCCTACTTAGTGAGGCGAAAATGCCCAACTCCAAGACTAAGTGCTACAGGCTGAAGAAGATTCAACATGAAAAGTGTTGTCCTATTCGTTTTCAGTTCGAAACACTGGCAGAGGCCAGAAAATTCATCCACTCCCAGCACACCCTATCGCAAGCCAGAAACTACAAACTAATATAGGTTGCGGTGGACAAGACAGTCATAGAAAGGCGCGTATATAATTATCTCACTGAGTCTAATTGTGAAATAAACAATAGTACATTGCAAGCAGCAATTATACCCAACCCTTTGAGAGATATCATAGAATCCACCGCACCACCCCTCTCAAACCATACAGAATTATCCTCTCAGAGAGCGACACCAACCGAAAGGCCACGAAATTGTAATCAAATAGCCAATAAAACTATACCACTTATAGCCGTAGACATAGACATGTCACCAAATAATCCCGGAAAAGAAGTCAAAATCCTCCGAAAGTCAACTCTGTCCTCTCCTTACCATAAGTCCATTGGTAAAAAAAGAGAATATCACCCCAAATCATGCCAACAACAACAATGGCAGTATAAATAAGCCCATATTCCCCACAGTCAATAGTATTAGTACCCACAACGTGCGAAATAGCACCATGGCCCACACTGATAACCAACGCCGCAACAATGCCACCCTCAATAGTACAAGTGGTAATAGTCAGAACTCGACCACCAACAACTCAGGGTATTCACAGTATGGCACACAAATAAATTTTGATCGGATATATGGTACAAGTCTGCTGGGAACTAACCCACAAAGCAGTACACACGAAACCCATACAAGGACATAACTAGCACCTAACAATAGGTCGAATAATAAACCATGGTCTTCACAAGGTCCTAATCATTTTTTATCCCCTGCGTCCCTGTCAGCGTTAAAAAAACAGCTGGTAGGGATGTTAACACTCCTAAACCGCTAGTGCTGGGTCCCCCTTGCATGAATACAGGAACAGTCTAGTGCACCCACATCCATTAAGCACACTTGATGCATGCACAAGTTTAGGTCAAATAAAGACCCCTACCCCCGTTTCTAGCTTAACTAAAAATAAAAATGCCTTAGCCTATAGCACATCCAGTACTCCAACGCTCAATTCTTCACCGAAAACAGCACACACCAACTCGATAGACATAGGTGAACATGATGCTGAAACTCCTCTTAACATAGGGTCGTCATGTCAAACAGTATTACTGGGTGCTGAACCATATTCGGGCTGATTAACGAACTTAAATACTTCAAATGCTATTTCAAATCTCATCTTTACCTGATCCTCATAAATGCTAGATCTGTTTATATATTTATTCCTGTTTATGCAAGAACATTCCAATTGTACAGGCATGGATAAGTTATTATATAAATCACACATTTTCCGATATATGGTGAATTTACAGTTTGTTTTTTCTTTCTGACATTAGAGTCAGTCGGAACAGTCTGCAAAATAGTCTGTCTGTGTAACACATAAAGAGATATAGAAATATTGTCTTCGCATTAACAAAAACCCAGACATCAGATGTATGTAATACAAATATCTGGGAAAAGTAAAGCTTGAAGTCAATTCTCCCAAATAACTTTGTTGTGAACAGCATCCTTGACTTAGAGTTTATTGATGTATTATTTGGAGGTCATTGATGTATTTATTTCACTTTTTTTCAGCAGTCTTATCGTAGTTTTATAATAGGAAAGAAATTTGCTCGTGGATACGAAAACTAAATTAGGTCATGTTGGATAATTTTACTGCATGGAATGGGGCCGAGGTCGATTATAGAACTATCCATTGGCGCCATTTGTGTCAGCATGGCAGACTGTACATGTAAGTTGAGTAATACATTGAAAACTATTTGAAAACCAGTTACTTCTTTATTTCAGATCATGAATACTCCTTGTACAGAATGTTTGCCAGCGTCTTCAAGTGGTAGCATGGGATTGTTCATGGAATTTGAGTGTGAATATACTTAAATAGTCAGGAGTCCAGCTTCATTTCAGTTTAAATGTAGGGTTGTTCGACCTCGACTAGGAGGTAAATAGAAGTTTAGGCTCAGCAGAAGAATACCAGAAAGAGGATGTGAACATGAAAAGAACACTAATGTTTTATGCATATGTAAATGCTTATCTCAATTGTATATCACTGTAGAGTAAACATTACCTATATTCTAGTTGTGTTTTCATGTATTTTTGCGATGTCTTAGAGTTTATTTAGTGTCATAATATATAGTAATGAGTCTAAGTGTTATAGTGTTCAAATAGCTGATGGGTTTTCGAAATAAGTGGTGCGGTCTGGTTGGGATAGTCACTGGGATGAAACAGTTTATATAGCAAGCGTTTAAAGCTTATAATAGACTGACAGGTCCTTATTTCTAGGAGTATACTGTTCCAGATCTTAGAGTACATGACTATGAAGAAGTTTGCACTGAGTGCTGTCTCACAGTTTTTCGTAGATACTGTGCACGTTTGGTTACGAAGGTTGTAAGAGCCTTCCGGTGAGAACTGTATCTCCTTACTGTCTGGGAATGATATTTTATACAGGATTTTAAAGAAGAATGTTAGGTTAATGCTGGGTCGTCTCATCCAGAGTGGGTCGATACCTAGAGTGATACACCTTGATGTGTAGTCCTTTTCGCAGCCAAATCCTAGTAGTTTAGACGTGAAGTATCGGTGGACATTTTCTATTTTAAGTTTGTCACTTACGCGAGTGCTGCTGAGAATAAATGGACAATATTCAAGTAGTGGTCTGACACATGTTTTATATAAAATAATTTTCGCTTCGTAGTTGTGGAAATTCCTGAGTATACATCCTAAGAGCATCCTCGATTAACGCGTCTGCGTTGCCACTTGCTCAGGAAATGTCAGGTCACTAGAGTACCCCATCAATTAGGTCACCTAGAGCTGGTACAAGTCACAGAGTTGAAAACACGCCATGGAATACAGTATTTGAATTTCATAAGGGTCTTCGCATGAATGAGTGGACTAATGAGTAGAGGACTGGGCCAAATATTGGACGTACTGTGGTAAAAAGGAAGAACTATACAAGGAAGATGAAGTGCGCAGAGATAAAAATCAGCAGGTAGGTGAAAATATAGGATATTTGTAAAAATTGTGCAGACCAGTGAAAGACTGATTTCATCTCAGATGTGCTGGATCTTTAATATCTGAACCTGACATTTTAGAACCATTAGCTCAGTAAACAGTAGCTATAACAGTCAGCAGGGAAACCCACAAGATGTGGACTCCGATGAGACGGAAATTGTTATCGCTTCATGGAGATTTTCCCTGCGTCGGGGAATGTCGTTGTGTCTTCGTCCGATAATATATCAGTGTTTGTGCCGGGTACACAATCTATAAAAACGATTTCGAGTCACCTGTAGCTTTGAGATAACTGAGATTTGACAGGTCCAGTGTATGACAGAGCACCTGTCGTCCGCTCAGAGTAGGATTTGTGGTATCATCTCAGTAGACTTTAGCGGACAATCGCCTATTATTAACTGAATCATGCTCTTTGCTTGTGTGACTGATGCTGCCTAAGGGTGGTTCTGTTTGTAAAGTTCCTTGAAGCAATTGGTTCAAATTAATGAATTAGTTTGCATTGGACGATCTTCTTTGGCGGTCTGCTTAAATTGCAGGACTGCCAGAATTTCTATCCATCAAAGTGCCTAAAATCTTCTGCAATTCTTGTTGTTATGGTTCTGAGTTTATAACAGATGATCACTGTATGAACTAATGCGCATACTGAATCAGCTCCCAACTTTTAAAATATACCCCAGTGAATGCGGTAGTTGCCACAAAAAATGCATGCCTGCTGGATCAGTAATTCTGATGAAAATTCAATAATTATTATTTAGAGGCTGGGGGTGTTGACGTTAACGATATTATGAAGTATACTAACGTCTGTGGCACAGTGGTTAGGACTCTCGCCGACTATGCACATGGTCCGGGGTTCGATTCCCTGCCGACGCACACCCGATATCTATTGCCGGCCTGCGAAATATGGGCTGCCGATATCCATGCTGAGAATTCCCTACTTGTACAGAAAATACGGTGTGGAATCAAGCTGTAATCAAAATAAATATAAAAAATAAATAAAAATAATACCCACACCTTCAGTAGTATTTGTTCCGGGTAGACGGGAGGCAGAGCAAAATGCCAGAATCGACAGTCCCAATTACGAGGTATATTTTAGGATCAAATAGAGGTATGAGTATTATTGCATCACTAGCTGGGGATCTTAAGCTAACGAAAGAACGTAGTACGACGGCGTGCCAAATAGTGTGGAAACTTGGCCATTGGCCTTCACCTTAACGAATCGACTCATACAGTGAGGTTCAGTATCCGATTTTCGGTGATGAACGCTGTGGCCAATAACTCTGAGGAATCACCACTGCTACATTTTCACTCACAATATCAGCGAATAAATACTTTTGTGAGGAAAATCAGGTTAATAATAATTAAGACTAAGAATCTTATTTGAAGATATTTTGCGACTTTCACGAAGATAGATCAGTCAGTATGCAACATCAGAAGTAGACCGAAAAATATAGTTGTTCGGTAAGTTGGGAGAGATGATACTTCATGTTCAGTAGAGGAAAATACATTGGTATATCAGGATAGGGTGACCTACAGTATTATTTCCGAAATCAGACAAAATACCATAGTTAGACTAAGTTTCACATGTTGCATTAATATGTTACAAAAGTTAGAAGAAAATGGGTAAACTGACGACTTCCTGCACACCAGTATTATGATAACTAATGCAGGACTGCAAACTTGAATTCACGTGGATGAAACTCATCGGACAATTCGAGCTCATTCGCTGATTGGTATTTAATGGTGCTTAAAGTTTAACTTGGCAGAATTGTGTATTGTTGGAAGAAACATTTATTACGAAAACTGGCTTCATAGATTAAGAGAAAAGTTTTATTCTGTGTTCTTAATTGGACCACTGGATTTTGCTGGCAGTTTCAATTTGCTGCGTTACGTTCCTTTCTTGTCTGGTTGGTATTTAAAATTGAAAACATAAGGTTGGTTCACTATTTCGACATTTCAACAGAGTAGCGCTTAAAATTTTGTCAATCTTTTGTCCAAATATGATAAGGCAGAGTGTCGTGGATGTTTTAACACAATATTACCATCGTACGAATAAATTCTGAACAAACACCAAGCTTACAATCGTTCTAAAATAATTCTAACCTACGCGTTGATATTAAATTTTCATGGTAAAAGAATATATTATGCACCTAAAATGATTTTATTATTTACCTCGATAGTGATAGTCGTTCCTAAAAAGATCACTGGGCGCTCTATTAATGCTACAAATAATGTTGATTAGCAAACACATTTGATTCTGAACTACTTCTGGAAATGCCTACAGGGTGCTTAACTAGTACCAATTATTCCGAAAACCGGCACCGAGTTCTAGTCTGTGAGCATAATCAAACCATTTTAGAACAAAGTCAGAATTTACTCATTACAGGATGTTAGAGTTGGTTCAAAATTAGCGAGATTTAATTCAGTATTATAGTAAGCTCCGGACGCTTTTTTGGTGTCCGCTAAATGCTGAGAAAATTTTGGATAAGCAACATTTTTCAAACGAGGTAGCAGAGTCATATTTTCAACTAACTCAGTGCTCATTAACATTCTACTATTTCAGCACTTCAAGCTCCAATTAATTAACGACTGGCATTCCCCCCCTGGTTAAGCATCTGATGGCATTCCTCAAGCATTTTTAAGCAACCTATTATTTACACTAATCTCTTGGTGTTTGATCAAACTTTTATTCTTCCTCGAATTCGTTAAGCGAATTCACAAAATTGCCTAATTTGATTTGGTCATGTTATATGTAACTTCGTGGTCAGAGAATTCACGATTAGTGACTAGTAGTTTTACAAGATTTTGTTTAGAATTCACCTGAAGTAAGGCGAATGTCATTGAAAGTAATTCGTTTGCTTTAAAAAACACCAACTACGTTGTATGTCTTGGTGATGTTCCGATTATTTTCAATATGCTGAGTTCTGCATCAATGTGCGAATGCGAATTGTGACAGTGTTAATTATAAGCCAGTATGTCTATCACTACTGCACTTCCCTGTATTCATTTGCCTCATACCTTTTTTTATTTTCCAGATTACGTGCTGTCCTAGTGATTTCTGGTGAATATTGTTTGGTCTCTTGCTCAGACAAATATTCACTACAGGGGTGTTACAGAATTGCAAATGGTTTGTGAGAAGTGTAAGTTGAATTTTCACTGTTGATTTTAGATTACTAGGCGAGAAAAAGCTGGGAAAGGTAATCACGCCGGATCCTTGGAAGGCAGGTGCACGGAACACGGTCAGTGGAGGTGGGAAGAAGCTAAATGAAAATAAGCTACTAACAAGTTCGAAGAATCGCTTTAGTCCATATTCTTCTTCATTTCCGCGGTGCAGAATATGTGCCCAAACTGTTCATCAGGCAGGTTCACATTATTGCCAACAATGTGCATTCAAAAAAGGTATCTGTTCCATGTGTGGTGTGCGTTTAGTTAACACAACACGCTATAATCAATCAGCTGCCTAGATAATTTAACTGTATGTTTTATAAAATGTGTATTATCATTTGTACCTCTTCTTTTCCACTGATAATTTATACAAGTATTAACTACAAATATTCAGTAGTCTCTTTTTTGTCGAAGCATTTCAGAATTTGATTTTGTGGTCAGAGAGGATAACTGGCTGACATGTATTACGTCAGCTCACATCAGGCAAGCAGAAGACATTGTAACATGAATTAGGTTTTAAAAATGTTAAGGATTTGAAAGACGATCGCAAATGAGTCTGTCTGTTCTATTGTTTGTTTTCCTCCTACTCCAGTGAAACTGTATATACTTCTATATGGTTCAGGTAAAAAGCTATCGTTTTGGTTGTCTACAATTCTAGTCATAAATCAGTTCATTTTTTAAATATAGGGAGGTGCTAATTTTGAATATGCATCTCATCTTTTATCAATTTACTCGACAATAGTCCATCAGCTGCCTGGCCTTGTTTTCCAAAGGCTTTTTACAGTCTATTCTGATAAGAAATATTGAAAGATACTAGATGAGTGTTTAGTGTTCGTGTAGTCATCCAACAACAGTTTATTTGGATTTGTGAAACCCATTGATGGCCGATCGCTTTATTGTTTACCTTGAATCAAATATCCTCTTACCAACAATCAAACGATTCGAAGTTTACAAGCAGCGTAAAAATGATATCTTCATGATCACTGATGAAAATGCCGACCTAGAAGAAGTGCAGGGAATCTTAAACAATGCTCGTCAATCAGTCGAATTCAAAATCAAAGCTAAAGCAGAATGTAAATTATCCTTCCTAGATGTTTATTTCACAAAACAATCAGATAAAAACCTACAGAGATCAATCTACCTTAAGCCGAAATGGGATGCGCAGATGACAAACTATCACAGTTTTGCCCCAATAAGCAGAAAACCCAGGATAGACGACTAGAACTTTGAAAAGAACACTTTGAGTAGCGATTAAATTGGCCTATAGCCACGCTTGACATACCCAACATCCAACACCTTTTCTGATCAGGATATAGACATAGGTTCACCGTCCCTTACTGAAGTTACTAAGCCTGTCACTAGTCTGTAACGAGGCAAGGCTCTGGGACCCGAAGGAATGATTCCAGAGGTGTTTAAGAATGGTGGAGACAGTTTATTGTCTGTATTAACTAGGGTACTAGGCAGCGTCTGGGAATCAGAGATACTCCTGTCGGGCTGGTATAAGTGATGGTTTATCCCGACATACAAGAAGGGAGACAAGTCTTCCCGTGATGGTTATAGGGGTATCACCCGACCGAAAGCTGCTACCTTGACGTGGTGGTCGGGCTTGAACACTGCAATGACCCAACAAGCTATACTGGCTGGAACTTATGTTCCTGCAGGTCCTACCATGCCAGAAAGGTTGTTTGGATAGCAGTTAGACTAAAAGCAGTCACCCAATCCAATCCTATGATTTCAAATAAATCACAAAATATCATGCCGGATCGGTCGGGGCCCGGATTAACAACGACCGCGCTTTCTGCTGCCGTGTCACAGGGCAGAGGTGATAAATACGCTACTGAGACACACCAAATAAAAAAGAACAAACAAAAACAGGCCGTGTGTGACCGGCCTCAAGCAGTTGTCCCCTGGGCTCTGCGGTCACGCAACCAACTTCCACGGTGTGGGCAGCCGGGAAGTAACTATCGCCCTCACAATCCGAAGTGCACGCGAAACCCCTCTAATCCTCGCTCATCTTCGTCTTCATCTTCATCTCTATTATCTTGCCTTCCTTCTACCAATGCAACTCCTCTACTTGTTGGCTCTTCACTTCCCCTTCACTCTGTGTGCACTGATAACGATGGAAGCCAAAAAGCCACCACCGATTGTCTCCTAAAACCACGCCACCAATTTTATATAGGAGCATTTAATGTTAGGACACTTTGCCAAATAGGACAACAAGCATCTCTAGCCAAGACTCTGGCATCCCGAGCCATTGATGTATGTTGTGTTTCAGAAACACGCATACAAGACCCAAGTGTGGTTATTCACCTAACCCCACCTGGCCAACAGGATGAATCTGCAAAATTCACCTTGAGGGTGTCAGGAGATGAGACGGCTAGCTCACGAGGATTAGCTGGTGTTGGGATAGCTTTAAGTACTAGAGCAGAAAAGACATTACTTGACTGGATCCCGGTAGATAGCCGAATGTGTGCTGTCCGCCTGAACGGATCAGTGAAAAGGAGAAAGGACTGCACTACTCGCCGATGCCTTTTCGTAATCTCCGCCTACGCCCCCACTGACTGCAGTTCGGATGAAACGAAGGATGAGTTCTACCAAAAGCTGTCTAGTTTGCTGCGAAAGGCTAGACGCTCAGATATAGTCGTTTTAGCTGGTGACTTTAATGCTCAAGTAGGGAAATTGTGTCAATCTGAGAAGAATGTTGGTGGCACATACGGAATTCCGTGCCAGCGAACCGACAACGGTGACCGTCTCCTACAGTTCTGTTCAGATAATCATTTGTATCTTGTAAGCACTAACTTCAAACACAAGGAGAGACACTGTTTGACCTGGCGACCCCCATCATCAAATCAACGCTGGACACAAATAGACCACATAGCAATAAGCTATCGTTGGCGTGGGTCGGTAGGAGATTGTCGCTCCTTCTGGAACACGTGTGTAGATACGGATCACGCACTGGTCTGCGCTCGTGTGTGCTTACGACTGAACGGACGTAGGAAACAGCTGGCGGTAAACCCATCACGCCCCCAGCTCGACCAGGGAACTAAGTCCCTATTTGAGGAAGAACTAGCTAAACACATATCTGAGTTTGACAGCTGCGCTCACCCTGAAGAAGCCTGGAAGAATATTCAGTCAGCCATAGACACAGCTGTAAAAGCTGTGAATAAGGTAATTCCAAAGATGAGTAAAAACCACTGGATTTCGACTGCCTCATCCGAACTGATAGATGCTAGAAGACTTATTCCGGCGAGCTCCGAATTCAATGAGGAGCGAAAGCTGCACAAAAGGAAACTTACGAAAAGTCTCCGAAAGGACCGTGAACAGTGGTGGTTGACAAAGGCGAAAGAGATGGAAAAAGCATCGGCGATAGGCAACACCAGACAACTATTCAGGCTTATCAAGGAAACAGGTGGTAAAAAACAAATGATAAGCGAAACAATCGCCGAGAAAAATGGCACCATAATTAGCTCCCAGGATAGACGTCTGGAGCGCTGGAAAGAACACTATGAGGAGCAGTTTAATTGGCCCACAGCCACACTTAACCTACCGGACATCCAACACCTCCCTGAATGGGAGATAGACACAGGTCCTCCGTCCTTAACCGAGGTTAATAAAGCTGTCACCAATCTGAAGCTAGGCAAAGCAGCGGGACCTGATTTATTGACTCCAGAGGTATTTAAGTACGGAGGCGACAGTTTACTGTCTGCGTTAACGGAGGTTCTAGGCAGCGTCTGGGAATCAGAGGAAGTCCCATCGGGTTGGTGTAAGTCACTGATCATCCCGATATACAAGAAGGGGGACAAGACGTCTTGTGATAATCACAGAGGGATTAGCTTGACTCATATAGTATCTAAAATCCTAGGCTCAATAATACTGCGTAGATTAAGTGGCGCTCGGGAGACACAAACACGAGAAAACCAGGCAGGTTTTAGGCCAGGTAGAGGGTGTATTGATCACATCTTCACCCTTCGACAGATTCTAGAACATAGGCATTCCTACCGGCGTCCGACAATCATTATATTTCTTGACCTAAAGGCGGCATTCGATTCTGTCGACCGGGAGGTTCTCTGGCGATGCTTGGCTGTAAAGGGAATGCCAAGAAAATACATTGCACTGATTAAGGCACTCTACTCGTACTCATGCAGCCAAGTGAGGGCTTATGGCGAGTTGTCATCTGAAGTGGTGACGACTAGTGGCGTCCGTCAAGGATGCCCATTATCCCCATTCCTATTCAATTTCATCATAGATGTACTAATGGACTTAACCCTAACTCACTTCAGCGACTCAGGGATTGACTTGCTACCAGGGAAGAATCTCGTTGACTTAGAATATGCGGACGATATAGTCCTTCTAGGCGAGGACTCTGACAAAATGCAGAGTCTACTGAACACCCTGAGCAACAATCTTCGCATGTTTGGCATGCGATTCGCCCCTATAAAATGTAAGATGATGCTGCAGGATTGGACTTCATCGACCCCTAGATTAGAAATAGGAAGTGAAGTGGTAGAACACGTTGACCGCTTCACTTACTTGGGAAGTACCATCAGCCCAAACGGGTTGATCTCCGACGAAATCTCAGCACGAATACAGAGGGCTAGGTTCGCATTCGCCAGTTTTCGCCGTCTCTGGCGTAGACGCGATATCCGACTATCGACCAAAGGGCGTGTGTACTGCTCAACAGTCCGCTCCGTCCTCCTTTATGGCTGTGAGACCTGGCCATTGAGAGCAGAAGACATGAAAAGATTAGCTGTCTTCGATCATAGGTGTCTGCGTTCTATCTCCCGCGTGAAGTGGTATAATAAGGTGAGCAATATTGAGGTTAGGCGTCGAGTGCTAGGTAAGGCGGGGAAATCAATCGACGAGACTGTGAAATTACATCGACTGAGATGGTTAGGACATGTGCTACGTATGCCTAGTCATCGCCTTCCTCGACGGGCAATGTTAGCTGATATAGGGCCAGGCTGGAAAAGAGCTAGCGGCGGTCAAACCAAAACATGGCACCAATCAATGAAATCTACAACAGTTAATCTAAGTCACGTAGGAAGATGTAGACTTCCTGGTTGGGGCCCTCGGGATGGTAAAAACCAATGGTTGGAAACAATTGGTGACATGGCTCAAAATCGTTCTCAGTGGCGCAGATGCATCCACTCCTTGTGACTTATGATTTCCAATTAAACTTTTGTTCTCCGTTATTACTATTCCTTTGTCTCACACCTCTGTTTACTGTCTATATTATGCATTTCTTCTACTTCCTTCTCTTGCTTTGCGTGCTACATAGATTGTGGCGACTTGAACTGCCGCACATATGTGCAAAGTTCTATGTCGAAAACCGTCCGTCCGTCCGTATAGGGGTATCAGATTGACCAATATGGTATATAAAGTTCTAGGCTCAATAATCCTGCGTAGACTAAGCGGTGCTCTGGAGGAACAAACACGAGAGAAC